CTATTTCTTTCTCGTCACCTCGGTAGCCGCTTAAAAACACTGAATACTATTGTGTAAGTTGCGCGTGCAGCATGGAAGTATGATGGGACCTTTTCACGGCGAAGGCTGCGCTATATGCAGTGCACTAGAATTCCAAACCTTCTTCAGTGTCCCGCCTCTGAATTGGTTCCAGCAGCAGCATTTCAATTCTCATTTTGGAACAGCATTTTATGAACGCGCAGAAAGGATGGTCCCTTCTTGTTAGCTCTTGACGCGTTTATCGCCACTGGCGCTCCATTCAGAACCCCCACTTCCACTCAAATCCGTTGGGATTCCATCGTATCCGCTGCCTTTAAGTTTTATCACAACTGAGAAATACCACGGATATCTGCCTTGGTAGAATTCAACACATACAATGCAATATACCCATATTCATTCACCTTTTTCAACACAACATTCGTATTTACAAAACATATCAAAATCATAACAAATACAACTAAAAAATGGAGAATCGTGACGGAATATTTTGAAGATTCTTACATTTGAGTTTTTCAAATACATAACTTAACAAACAAACAAACAAACACAAGTGCTCAAGATGTTCCGTGACAAATCAACGAGCTGCACGTTTTCTTTTGGAGTGCCATTTTCCACGAAAGCGCTGATAAATTGGTCAGCATCGTCCGACGAATCGAACCAAACCGTAGACCAGGGTGCTTTTCGATTTATTCGTAATCTTCCAATACGCCTTCCAAATGCTGGTTTTGCACTTTGATATTTTGCCTTCGTTTCGGCGTTTTTCGTTTCAACGGTCCGAAGCCCAGCTTTTTCGGTGCAAGATCCTGTAAAACAACCACATAAAATTCTCATTTCGCCTTAGAACTAAGATCTAACGAGAAGTATAGAACTAAACCAATGAGAAAAAGGGATTGGAGCCACGACGTATCTCAAAAGCCTAACTGCATTAGTGCCACTGCTTCAGTACACTCGCGATATTTATTTTTGCGCGGGATTGTTTGTTTCAACAAAAGGGAATCTTATAAGCAGAGCGCAACTCTGCCCTGGTAGGTCCAACGGTGACATGAAGCGGTAAAGCCATTTTAGCAGGGCGTTTTGGAAGAATCAGCGAATCTGCGACAGGCAATGTACGAAAATTAGCAGTTCGGAACTTGGGAAAATAAGCGACTTGAAGACTCGGTGGAAATAATCAATAATTGGCGCTATCGCAATATAGGGGGCATCCTTTAGGACTAAGCCCAGAAGTGGGCAGGAGCTATGCAAAATGGCCCATGCACCACGGAGTCTCTCCTTCCCTGACCAAGACTTAGCTCCACTTTCAACGAAAAGTGCATGTTTTACGCAATTGAATCATTACTACCACCATGACCCCGTATATTGCGATAGCGATAGCGCTCAATAATTAATTCGATTAAGTATGCTCTTCTTATGTTTGGAGGAATCCACGATTTTCCAACATTCGGTACCGATTTTGCAAAAAAAAGATTTTCAGCTGAGAACGAACCTTCATTGCATCGATACCATGCTTCTGGAGATATTCCTCAATTTTCTTCTCATCCAAATGATCTACGGACACCTTACGGTAAATTTGCTTGAATTCTGAAATAAGAAATTTTTACATTGCAAGCTAGAGCGGCCCAAATAAGGCTTGATGCTCCTATTTTTCTTCTCATAATATAACTTGACT